TAGGGTTGTAGTTAATGCTGCGTGTTTGCTGAGATACAGCAAGAAAACTTGGAAATCCAGAGGAAATCCCTCTGGAAAGACTCGACGCAACTTGTATTTGCCAAAAGATTCTGACCAACAGCTTGGCGTAGTTTCTACCAGCAAGTGACCTTGCAGGCCTGGATTATCTGTCCAGATGAAAGGGCAGATAGCCTGCCCTTCCCATCCTCCTCTGCAAAATGCCTATATTCCTATTTCTCCTTCAAAAGAAACAGGGATATGGTGAGACAGACTAGTTCTTTCCTCTGACTTGAAGGGTGTGAAAGTAACTTTGGCAGATGTGGAGGTGAGTAGGAGTAGGATGAAAATGTAGATAGCTTATGGGTCACCTGAGAGGGGTGGTATGGTATAAGGAGTTACTAGCTATTATGTTCATTATTAGAATACATTTTCAGTAATATCAGATAATGTCAGATTACATGTAATTGGAACTTGAAGGAAGAAGAATCTGATGAAGCTAAAGTCAGTCTCTGTAAATAACATTCACTAAATGCCTGCTAGTTTGTACCAACATTGTTTGGAGCTCTTTCCTGTTAAAGGCATAAAGAGGCCGCTCATGATGTTCATATAGAATCCAGCAATGACAGTGAAACTTAATTACCCCTGCATCAGGTGTGAACAGGGCATGTTATCCAGCCTTGGTGAACAGGGCATCGGTCTCCTGAGTGATGCCCTTCTGCAGCTGTCTCACTACCCCTGAGGTGCCACAGCTGTCTATTGAAAGGATGCAGGGGTGAAGAATTTCAAGGCCATGGTTAACCTGCTTGCTAGGGGAAAGGCATGGTGATACATGCTGTGAGGGCTATACTTGTGAGCACTGATCTGCACCATCTTCCTCAAGAGTCACAGTCACCCTGGGCACTGGTTTTCTGCACACCTACATAAACCCACCATGAGCCAATTAACAAGGTTAGGGATAGGTATCTGGTACAGGCAGGGAGGTAAAGACAGTTGCAGTTTACAAAGAATTAATCTGAATCTCAACTACTTAGCTGTTGTCCTGTTTCTGTAGGAGTGGTGAATTTTGCAGATATTCTTGATTTATCAGCCAGTGGTAGCTTTTTAAAGTTGGTTTTTAATTGATGCTGTTTCTGAGACTTGAGATTGTGTGTGTGTGTGTGAGAGCGAGAGAGAGAGACAGACAGACAGACAGAGAGAGAAGAGAAAAGCTTTCAGTGTCCTGGCTGTTATTAGTCCATGTTGCTTTCTCTTTCTGCTTTGTTACACAAAATAATCTATTAAAGTATGGCTTGTTTCTGCATTCCATGTCCAGCTCTATATATTTATTTCAAACTGAACACCTGCAGATAACCTTTTATTTCCAATAGGTGAGGTTTTCATCCAAATGTAAGTAAAACAAGAAATTTCTTCCTATCTCACTGAGACTTACTGCCTCTTGATTAAAATGATAATTCTGAGGCAAACAGTTTTACATTTTCCTTGTGGTTGCCCAGACTTTTAAGGTGAACACCATAAGGTGAAGGAGCCATTTTAGGCCAGCAGTGTCTTTTTTGAACTCATTTTTGAGGCAATGAAAGTCTCAGATATCAAAGTAAAATAATGAAAATTGAATATTGATAGTTCATTTTCACAACTATTGTAACAATGCAGCTTTCTATAGATGGCCCATTATCTTGGTAGTAGTGAACATGAAATTCATTCAATACATGGATGGAAAAATTAAAGGAAACTTTGGTTCTCAGTGATGCCCAGTGAACTTGCCTCTCTCAGTTTCTGTGCTCAGAGCGGTGTCTTCTTCTCTATCATGTCCCTTGTTCTTCTGGCTCTGGCCTCGAAATGGGCCTGCCCTTCAAGCAAACGGGAATACAAGAAGTAGAAACGAGAGTAAGCCATGCAGCCCATTGAGCCTTCTCTGCCATTTGGTAATATCATGGCTGATCTGATTGTGATGTCAAATTTACTTTCTCATTCGTACCCCCCATAATCCTTCACTCCCTTATCAATCAAAAATCTGTCTAACCCTGCCTTGAATATATTCAATGGCCTATTCTCCACTGGCCCCTTGGGTCATTCATGATCCTGGGCCTTGGGTGTGTGTTGTTTCAACTACAGGCACTGCCTCTCTGGGACCTTTAATCCTCAGGAAGATCTCCTGCTGGGTTGTCAGAACCTGAGTGGCACTTAATTTTGCAGCCCTTTCCATTAGAGGCTATGTGCAGGTCTTACATGCTCTCTATCTAGCAGGCAAGACCTCTGATATCTCCATTAGCTCCCACCCTTTGCTTATATATTACTATTTCTCAGTACTAAGAAAAGAATAATAGTGGCTGATTTAAATGCGTTAAAGGAAATGAGTATTTTTTTCTGTTGTATTTTCTGCTTAATCCATGCCCTAACTCTCGGTGGGCATCCTGATTCCTCATCGCCACCAATGCTCCTGTGAACTAGCAAATTAAAAATCATCTGTATTTGATTCCTCACTCTGAATGGCAGTAATTAATGCCTGTTTCTCTTTTCCTGTCATAGTAATGTTTCAGCATGTTCACATGACATACCTGATAATTTTTTTTCCTATCTGGCATCTTTACCAGATAATTCACCTGACTTAACGTTTTCTCAATCTGATGTGGACCACTAAACCTTGCTTTGAAGTGATATCCTACTGCTAACAGCACCAACACTTTATCCCCATGGGCAAACATATGAATTTTAGATTTCTTATCTGCTTCTTTCCTTTGTTAGGTGTTTTGCCACCTTCAGATGTTGTCTAGCTAATTCACCTACTTTGTTTAATCTTTCTCTCATCTCACATACATAATCAAACTGTGAGATCTCTGACTTTGGACCTATCAAATTTTTCTTAATTAATTTTAAAGGCCCTCTTACTTCGTGTCTGAATATCAATTTAAACGGAGTAAACTGAGTTGATTCATTTGGAGCATCTCTAATAGCAAATGATATAAATGGGATACCTTTATCCCAATCATTTGAGTAATCCTGGCAATAAGCTCACAACATTGTCTTTAGGGTCTGATGCCACCATTCCAATGCTCCCTAGGATTCAGGATGGTATGTACTTGATTTAAAGTGTTGGATGCCGAAATTATCCATGACCTCCTTAAATAATTTGGCAGTAAAATTGGACCCTTGGTTTGACTGAATCTCCCCAGGTAGTCCATAATGGGTAAAGAAAGCAAGCAACTCCTCCACAATCTTTTTCTCCTTGACATTCTGTAATGGAATTGCATCCAGAAACCTGGTACTCACATCTATTATGACTGGCCAATACTGGTTCCCACTTTTGGTTTTAGGGAGGGGACCTACACAATCATATATTACCCACGTAATAGGTTCTTCAAATGTGTTAATTGGCATCAAAGGCGCTGTTTCTATTACTGCCTGTAGCTTTCCTACCATCTGACACATATGATAGGTACAGCAAAATTCAACCACACCTTTATGTAATCCAGGCCAATAGAAATACTTTGGTATGTTAACATGAGTCATCCTCATTCCTAGATGACCTCTTACAGGTAATTTGTGTGCTACCTGCAATATTTCCTGCCTGTATTCTACTGGCAACACAATCTGGTGAACTTCTGCCCATTTCTCATCTGCACTAACCTGCCAAGGTTTCCATTTCCACCTTAAGATTTTATTCTTAGGGTATTAATATTCTGGAATGCACTCTGATTCCTTTTCTGAGTAGACTTTATGATATAAATCCTTTATTGTCGCATCTTTTTGTTGCAGCTCTATTAATCTTTCAGAACTAAGCACCTCTGCCTGATCCTCTACCTGCTTAGGTCTTCCCTTTATAAAACCCGAAAGAACTGCGGATGCTGTAAATCAGGAACTAAAACAGAAGTTGCTGGTTACGACGTTTTCCCAGCTACCATCAGTTCTGAGGAAGGGTCACCGGACCCGAAATGTTAACTGTGACATTTTTTCTTCTCAGATGCTGCCAGACCTGCTGAGCTTTTCCAGCAACTTCTGTTTTTG